CTCTTTCCCAAAAAAAAACAATCTCATTTATTATAACATAAATACAAGACATTAACATACATATTCGTTTATATTTTTTTTTACATCCTATTCTCATGGTTATTCTCAAAAACCTATTCCCATTCACTTTAAAAACAAAGGTAAACACTTTCCAATTCTTACTTTACACCATTTTATATACCAAATTACTTTTAGATCAAATAAATTTACCTTAAATTATTTCAAATATCTTACAACCTAAAAAAACGACTCCTTAACCATTTAATGCACAAAACAAAAATCTCAAATAATTCATAACTAACTTGTTCGTTACAGGTATGTTATTGCGACCTTTAAAAAAAATAAATCCAACTCCTTTGATATTATACTAACTGAATTATTCTTTACGAAAAAAAAAAATCCTAATTCAACATAGAATTTTACCTCAAAATTAGACTTTTATTGTTCCCCCCTTTTTTTTATAAATCACATATTGCTCCATTTAATTCAATTTCCTTAATATTAATATAATTTTCTTAACAACTCCCTCTTCCACCCATCTCACATACATTACACTTTATAGAAAAACAATCTTCAAACATATAAACAACTTCACAAAAAAAAATTTTCGAAACATAAACCAAATAAAAAAAAACAATTTTCTTTCTCAACAACCATAAACCATTTTACTATGAAGTATGTTTTTCTTAACTTAACTTAAATCAAATTAATTTTACTATTAACGATTAATTTTTTTTAAATTTTTTTTTAAAGCTTTTACACGAATTATCAGAAAAAGAAAACGCTATAAAGTAATGTTTTTCTTACGTAAACCCAAATCAATCTTACTCTTAATGATCAATACCTTATTTCCTTTATTTTTTTTACTTTTACAAAAACTATCAGAAAAAGAAAATTACCTACAACCCTCACCGCTTACTCACCCTTCCCATTATATTTACAAACAAATTATTTCAATACGTGGGTGCTACTATTTACCATTTATTCGGGTCCTATTTCTTGGAAAGTTTCTACAAAAATAAATCCGTCAATAAAATAAAAACGATATAACACTATATAAAATAAATATATAATTTTGACTAAGATTAAATTGATTGGCGAAATAAAAATGAGTGCACTAATTAGGCTTAGGATATAATCATCATATTTTTCTTATATATTTATGAGATCTACAAAAAAAATTGATGTAAGTAGAAACATATTCACTAACATTAATATTGGTAGATAAAAAAAATATAAGATATATACCATATTTTTATGACTTATAAGCGATTAAAAAAAATTCTTAAGCAGGAATATATTTATATGTATAAAATCAATACGCATAAGATTGCATACCATCTCTTCTTTTTTTCCTGGAAAAGAGGAACCCGTTGATTTTGCAATGACCTTGAAAAAAATAATAAAAACTTTTGGTCATTCACTGCCCTTTTATTTCCGTTCTTGCCCCTAGGACTCCAGCTGCCCCGGCTCGACTTCCCCGGAACTCAACTGCCCTGGTTCGATTCCCTTCCTCAGCTGGTCAGCATGTCGGACCCTTATTCTTTCATCCGGGAACCTTATACGGCACAGCATTCTACCCATTTTTTCGACCACTACTCCCGATTCCCATTTCTTTTCGCTCCCATACATTCTTGCCCACACTGTGTGGCCTATCTCAAATTTTCCATCATTTTCCTGTTCAATCCTTTCCCCATCCTTCTCTTTCCCTGGTTTCAATGCATCCATATCAGTCCACGTTCTCCGACCCAAAAATTTCTCAGACGGCGACAACTCCGTCCCTTTCCTGCTATTATTATAATAAGCGACCGATACCCATACTTCACTTCCTCCAAATTTGGCCTTCCTCAACCAACTCTTTACAATTCCCACCATCCGCTCCGCCTGACCATTCGAGCTCGGATGGTAAGGCGGCGCCAGCACATGTTTCGCCCCACTTTCCACACAAGACCTCCCGAACCCTTCACTACTAAAGGCCGGACCTCCATCGGACACAATTACTTTGGCCACTCCAAACTTCTCCCATAAATTTTTCAACTTTCTGACCACGATTTTCGTTGTTAATCCACCTACAACCTCAAACTCTATCCACTTGGAGTATGCGTCAACTACCAAGAAATACTCTTTCCGGTCAAACTCAAAGAAGTCCACAGGTTTCATATAAGGAATAAGATTGTTTCTTGATAAGAAAATAAGGGAGTAAGTATCAAGGTTTCTTATGAAAAAGAAAATTATTCTTTTCCGAAAATTATGGTTAGATAGCAAAATGATGTCTTAGAAAGGAGTGAGGGTTGGCAGAGGGAACGTAAATAATTTGTTTTGAGTTAAAAAAAAAAAAAATTTTTTTTAAATAGTTTGATTTTGAATTAAGATTTCTTTCTTACATAATTTTGTTTGGAATTAAAAGAAAAAAATTATTTTAAAATAATTTTTGTAATTAAAATTTCTATTTTAAATATTTGTCTTGTTAGTATAAGTGCTTGTAAAAATATTGTTTTCATTCCAGGGTTTATAATATCAAAGTGGTATACAGCGTCTTTGAAGTTCGTAGTTATGCCAATAACAAATAGGTAAGCTCTAAATTATTATAAGGGGTATATTGAAATGGGGCAGTAAATTCGAGATTGTTAAAAAAAGGGGGGGGGGAGGATTAGGAAGTACGGGAATATTTTTAATAGTAGATATATAGTCTTTATGTCTGAAGGTATCTAGATTTAGGCACCCATATGCTGCGGACCACGGTTATTAGCAACGATATGGAACCCTTAGCCAGTGAATGGAGACTGATGTCCCGTGAACAGGACGAGCGCCATCCTAGAGCTTGAAGCACAGATACTCGCGTGTTGCCGGCGCCCCGATGGGAAACAAGATTGCAGTGCTTTGGTTGTGGAGTGGAGGGACACGTCAGAAGGGATTGCCCACAACTCAATGTGCCCCGGAGGAGGGACCCCAACGTGGGAGGTGATAAAGCAGCAACAGTGCAATCGACGACCATGCAGGTGACGTCCATCCCTTCCCAGAGGAGACCAGAGCCGACGGGGGTAATGGTCCAACAAAGACGACCCATGGTTCTGGAGACGCCGGGACGGCAAGTGATTACACATGAGGAATATTTGGACCTGGGAGTGAATACCCAGAAACTTAATGATTTATTTCCGACTTAGGGAAGATCTCTACTGCCCCTGGCCCGAACTTTGGAGTAGGGAAGGGGGGAGATGTCGTATTTCGCTCTTTATCGTTTTTTTTAATATATTATTTTATATATATGTAAAATCATTCTAGTTCTTTTTGTGTGAATACATTATTTTATAACGTCATTATATTTATAATATTAGCGGAGTAATTTGGCTCCGAATGATAAGACTCAGAATGAGTCTTGTTATTTTGGGGGAGCGAATTATTTTGTTATTTATTTAATTATAAGATATAAAAAGGCCGTTTTTTTAGGCAAAATATGTTAATTTTTATTTTATTTTTTTTCAAATTTAATAAAAAGTTTATTTTTCCGTTTGTGTCTTTTAAAAAAAAAAGAGTCTTTCTCTTGGGAAATTAATTACTGTGAGGAACTTTAAAATTTTCTGTTTTTGTCAACGAATTTTATTCAACGGTTAGGCACAATTACAATATTCATCAATGCTCATTTGTAGATATGCATCTGTAAGATCTAATGTTATATATTTATTTCCAATAGCGATATTAATTCTTTCAACGTTGGTAGAAGTGAGTCTTTTAGTAGAAATTTATTTAATGTTACTTTGAAGTCTCCACATAATCGTAGTTCACCTGAAGATTTACGTACCACTACCATTGGAATACTCCAGGTCACTCTTGTTGTTGATGGATCTATTTTCTTTATTATGTTATTTTCTTCCAAACGTTTTAGTTCATTTTCAATTTCTACTTTTAAAGGCAAAGGTATTCTTCTAGTTGGCAGTGCAATTGGTTTTGAATTTTCTACCAATTGTAGCTTTACTGGTTCGACATTTTTTATTAATCCTAATTTATTGTAAAACACTGGAGCGTATTCTTTATATAGTTTGTCAATATTCACATTATCATTATTATTTTATTTATTGTTGATCATATTAACTTATATATTTGTTGGTAACGATAGATCAAATTCTATAATCCATGGAAATCTAAACAGCATCATTTGTTTTTGTAGCTAATAACGGAAGCCATTTTATTTTATCATCTAACTGCACTTTTACATAAGCTTCGCCCATGATTTTTATTCTATTATTTCCATATGTAGTTGGAGCTCTAGCCATTCTAAGTTTTAGCCTCCCAATTTTATTCCATATTGTTGCATTAACAATATTTACTGCTGAACCTCTATCATATTCCATTTTGATTTCATGATTGTATATTAATATCGTAATTGTTGGGTGCTGTCCATATTTGTAGACTTTTCTTAAGAAATCTGAATCGTAGTCATTATTATTGTAATTTGTACCGTAAATTTTTCTTTAGTTTACAACACACTGCAAAGTGGTTTAATTTCTTATATTTATTGCACGTTTTATCATATGCCATTTTCTAATAGCATGAAAACGATTACAAAGATAGCAAGATTTTCTTGTATTATTACATAGGCGTAGCCAGGATTTTCCTAAGGGGGAGGAATTAAAAAATTCTAGGGGCTTCGCCCCCAAACCCTATTTTAGGCGGGCCTTTGGCCGGGTTACCTTAGTCTATATATAGTTGTTAGAGATGGACAATATTTAGAATCATTAAATTTGTTTTTTATATACATTCATACATTAATTTGTTTTTTTATTTTTAAATTAACCATATTTAGTATTAACATTTTTAGGTTAATTGATTGTGAATTGATATAAATACATGTTAGAAAAATATAAAATTTAGTAATAAAGTATTATGTGATAAAATATTTAAAACTTATTTGTTGCCTTCCATTAAACTTTTATGGTGGCAGCGGTGGGATCTACGATTTTAAATTAAATTAATTTATTTTCAAAAAATAAAATATAAATTAGATCAAATGGATCAATCAACTGCAGCGGAAAAAGTATCAATGGACACTGGAATGGTGGAAATGGACATTGGATTACGGATTACTCTAAATGAAATAAATATCAAGTTAAATATCAAAGAATTCTGAAAGATTATAAATTCTATTGGATATCATGTAAGAAATTACAAATTAGCAATGAAACCATTTAAAATAAAATTAGCAATGAAACCATTTGAAATAAAAAAAAAAAAGAAAAAAAGATGATATAATTATAAGCACAAATAAAAATAATTATAAAATAAAGTACATGTTTGATGAACTTAAAATTTTTTTTGAAATAAATTAAAATTTAATTAATATGAATTATCCTATTTGGAGTGAAGACAATATAAGTAATTATATTGACGAAGTAGAAAATTTTTTTTTAATTAATGAAGTTAGAAATAGCAGCAGAATATTAATTTATAAACTACCTGATCATCTATATGTAAAGATGAAGGCATTTGAACCAGAGACAGAGATTCAACTTTTGAGGAAGCTATTACAATATTGAAATTATTATGTAACTATAAAGTAAGAGCAAATATAAAAGTCGATGATACTAATATTAGAGAAAACATTAAAATCAAAGAAACTCTTATAATAAATTCAAAATGTGAAAATAATTATTGTGATGATTATAAAGACAATGAAATGTCTATAAAAGTCGATGATACTAATATTAGAGAAAACATTAAAATTAAAGAAACTCTTATAATAAATTCAAAATGTGAAAATAATTATTGTGATGATTATAAAGACAATGAAATGTCTATAAAAGTCGATGATACTAATATTAGAGAAAACATTAATATTAAGGAAACTCTTATAATAAATTCAAAATGTGAAAATAATTATTGTGATGATTATAAAGACAATGAATTGTCAACTAATGAAAATTTTCAGTATAATGACTTTAATAACTATGAAATTTTAAATAAAGAAAACTCTGATGATACAAATATAACAAGTAACACAAATGAAATAGATGAAATCTCTATATGGAAAACTTTAAATAAAATAGAATCCACGATTTATAGTAAAAAAAGTAATTGTAGGAACTGTGAAATCTTATTTATACTTAAGATAAAAGGATTTAAATTTAAAAATCTCTTAAAGTTTTAAGGAGGGAGAAGTTATAAAAAAAGATATGATTAATAATATATCTCATTTAAATCTTTAATTTTGTATCAATGGAAAATTACTTTTTTGACATATAAAAATAAACAAAAAAAATAAATAAATATAAAAAAAAACTATATAAAACTCAATGTAAAATAAAAATATATAAATAAAAAAAAAATGATATAAAACATTATAAATAAAAATAAAAAAAACGATATAAAACGAAAAATAAATAATATAAAAAATTGTATAAAACGCGACACAAATAATAAAAAAAAAAACATTAAAACGCGATTCTTTATACATTCTTACAAATTCAATATTATTTTCTAAATGATGATTATATTCAATTGGAATTCTTATATTCAATTGGATCTATTCTTATGATTCCTAATTATTCTTGATTAACTAATAATAATGATAATGATTTGAAAAATAATAAAAAAAAAATGATAATAATGACTATGGAAGGTGAACAAAAACAAATAAGCAAAGAGACGAAACGTTAATAACAAACCAACGAGGTGAAAACAAACCAACGAGGTGAAAACAAGCCAACGATAAAACGTGACAAAAGCAAGACAACGCTAAAAGATAAAAGCAAAGTGACATATGAAACGATAATAATAGTAAAAAATCAAGAACATCGGGACGATTTTTCGGCACTCAAAGAGACCTAGGCTGGATTTCTTTGGAGGGTGGAATGTTAGAGATGGACAATATTTAGAATCATTAAATTTGTTTTTTATATACATTCATACATTAATTTGTTTTTTTATTTTTAAATTAACCATATTTAGTATTAACATTTTTAGGTTAATTGATTGTGAATTGATATAAATACATGTTAGAAAAATATAAAATTTAGTAATAAAGTATTATGTGATAAAATATTTAAAACTTATTTGTTGCCTTCCAATAAACCTTTAATAGTCATAAAATATTTTTACAGGATAGGAGGTTAATTTTAATTTTAAAAAAATAAGCCTAGAACAAATATGAAATATATTTTTTATTAGTTTATATAAAATATAAAAAATTACTTGTATATACATTAATATAAAAGCATGGTAATAATTTATTCCAAACAAATATAAGAAATTTATTAAAAAGTAGACATATAGTTAATATTCCTCTATTATATAGAATTGGTTACAAAATACTAGGTAAAATTCCACTTTTACAGACATATTTTACAGTTAGAGAATATTTTACAGTTAATATTTTAGCAAATTTTACTAATCAATGCTCTTGATAATAAATATAGCAACAATTTGCATTAAATTATTTAACGCCATCTATTCTTTTTAAATAAAAAATGATATTAAAAATTAATCTTCATATTATTTATCCCACAATGTCTTTAAAAGATATTTTCTGATGTCCTTATCAATATTATATAATTTTCTGTAAAATATATAATTCGCTATATTGGTAAATTGTCATATGATAATTGATAAAATTAGATATACTGTAAATCTACGACATATAATATTTCACTGTTCGTATTGTGCTTTAATTTTTTATATTTAATTTATGATTTAATTTTATTAATAATTTTGTAATTATATTTTACTTTTATTAGAATAAATAAATTAAAATTATTCGCTTTATAAAAAATTATATTTGATATATTATATTATTTAGTAATTTTATGGATCTATTATTATAATTATAATATATTTCATTTTTGTCTTAAGACTTATCTTTGTCTTATATTACTGTTGCGTTATTTCTTTATCTTATTTTTTGTTATAATCTAATTTTTATTATTTGATTTTTATTATGTGTTATAATCTAATTTTATTTTATAAACGGCGTAACCTTACTTTTATATTACTTTTTTGTATTTCGTTTATATTCTAATTTATATTTATAGAAAATGTATATATACCTTAAGAAAAGAAAAAGAAATTAGTTAATAAAATATATTTTTACTGACTCGAACCTCGCGCAATATCGTTAGCCTTCTAATTCTTTGCATGGTGCCCTTTGGGTGAGGACTAGAAAAAGATGACTACCTATTGTGTATCTAACCTATAGAGACTGCTTAACCTATGGAGATGACTACCTATTGAGATGACTATCTTATCTATTGTGACTGCCTAAGCTATTAATATCCTATGCCTAATATACTGAGATGACCAAGAATCAAACCTTAGTACGTTCTTTCATGCAAAAAGCTTCTTTCTTTATGGTGTCCCGGCTCTGGATGTTGGACTGGAATATAATAGCCAGCACCTAACCTAATGTGACAACCTAGGAAGAACTGATATGGAAGTTGAACGATAGGTTATGAATTCTATTTTATGAGACCAATGATGATTACTTATTATTCTAATTTACGTAAGAAGAAAAGTTATTATATTAAGATTTTATGCCAGGATAAAGGCATGTTATTTTTTAAATCACTTAAATGTAAAATCATAATGGATATATTTGAACACACAAAAAGCCTTTAAAAAATTATTTACTTAAATTATAGTGAAATATTGATATTTTTTTGATTTCTTGAATGATGATTAATTGTTGTAAATTAACTAAACCTAAAGATGAATTCTTAGATATAATTAAAAATAAACCATTAAAAATCCTAAACAAGAAGATTATTAAAATGTAATTAAAACATATGAATTAAAAGGGATTTAATATGATAAATATGTTCTTGAAATAAAGCTTTTGAAGATTACATTTTTTTTAGATAAATTTGAATGATGTGATGAGATCATTTTCTAAAAACTATCTTATGAAGAATTTTTTTTTTGAATTAAAATTAGGATGTGAAATTTAAAATTTTATTTAAAGAGAGGGAAATGTGAAACCTCGGAGATAGAAAATAAACAAAAATTAATTAAACACTAAAACGCGAAAAATTAAACGCTTATAAAATATGAAATGCTAAAAAATGTAAAACGCAAAAAATATAAAACGCTAAAAATATAAAACGCTAAAAGTATAAAACGCTATGATTAACTTAAAAATAATATGATAATCATTATGATTTATCGTTCCTTATTCTGGATTAAAATTTTATTCCTTATTCCATAAATTATCATTCCTTATTACATATTTTATTGTTCCAAAATTCAAAATTTTATTCGTGCATATTATTCATACATTTGATTTGATCAACTATTCCAAATTATATATTCCGATTTATTCCAAATTCCAATATTCGACTGGATTAATTATGAAATTTGAGAAATGTGAACAACGTACGATAAGGATATCAAGCTAACGATAACGTTCAACGATTTCATCAAACCTACGAGAACATTTGAGACTTATGCGCTAACCAAGAAGAAACCGAATACAATCGAGACGGGAAAAACTTCTAGAACAACAAACTCTCTATGACTTCTCCGATGAAATTATCAGAAGAGGGAGAATGTTGCGTTATTTCTTTATCTTATTTTTTGTTATAATCTAATTTTTATTATTTGATTTTTATTATGTGTTATAATCTAATTTTATTTTATAAACGGCGTAACCTTACTTTTATATTACTTTTTTGTATTTCGTTTATATTCTAATTTATATTTATAGAAAATGTATATATACCTTAAGAAAAGAAAAAGAAATTAGTTAATAAAATATATTTTTACTGACTCGAACCTCGCGCTATATCGTTAAGATCTAATTCTTTTCAATTACCTTTCTTTAAAAACACTTTTGGTTCACTTTTTTTCATATATAAATGTTTTTTTCCAAAAATGTATAAATTATGTTGAATAGTTGTAGTTTAAAAAATATCAACTTTTACATTCTTTCTTTCAAATTATTGTTTAAGATATATGCATACATTTTTGGGGGTCAGAGATTGGGAGGAGGACTAAGGGGGATATTTTTTATTAGCTTAAAATGATATTCACAAAAAGTGATAAATTTCTGTAAAGGGGGGGGGATCTCCCATTGTCTCCACCCTTGGCTACGCCTATGTATTATTATTATTATTTATGTGGTAGTTATTATGACCTTGCATTGGTTCTCTTTTTTACGTATATTTTATTTTCATTTTGATATTGCCGATTATCATTATGATTTTATAAACTATTTGGTTAGTATTATTTATTTCTAAGTCGGCACGTTCCATCGCTAAAGCCATTTCTACAACTTTGTTTACGCTTAATGGTTGTTCTTCATCTTTAGTATCTGGGTATCTTAAACGAATTCTTTATCTAGTTGTGACATCTTTAGGCGATTAATTGATGGCGAATTCTTAGTTCTACATTATCTTAAAATTCGCATCTTTGGGCTAGCTCCTTTATATTGTTTAAATAGCTCATTACGGATTCAGTAGTGCCGCGAATTAATCTAATGAAATCAATTCTAGATGCCAAAACAGTTCTTCCATCTTTATAAAGTGGTTTTGCAATTTTGTATATATCTGCCCATACTACATCGTCAATTTTTCTTGAAAAGAGTAATTTTTTTAAATCAGTTATAATATTTATTCTTCCATAAGCTATAAATATTTTTTTCAAAGTGGCGTCAGTTTGAGGAATATTTTTAACATTCAGTATTTATTTTATGTAGTCTTTAGTCGTCAATAGAACTAAATTCCTGTAATATAATTTTATTCATAATTTCTAAACAAATCTATTATTATTATTTTTTTAGAAAAAACTTTTTATAATTCTATATAACATTTAACTTGATCGAAGACCGAAAAACCGCGCGACTTTTTTTTTTACCTCGTGGCCATTTTTTATAGTCAAACAATAGGTAACTTTATTTTAAATTGTTTTCTATATATAGTATTTTATAATTATGTAATTTAACTTCTAATATTATGCAATTACATTATCCATAATATAATATTAAATGTAGGAAAGTTATAATAATATAATATTCAAATAAATAACATAACCATTAAAATATATATGATATTAAAATATAACAGCAGTGATGCTACTTTGACATGGTTGGCCCTCTAATAGCAATATATTTGATACGGTTTATATTAGGGGCGTCGCTAGCCTTTACAATCTCAGGGGGCTCGACTAAAAAAAAAATTATAAGGGGCGAAGCCCCCATACCCTCCTAATTTGCGGGATCGGCCCGCTTTTCACCGGCCTTAGGCCGAGTTTTATATTAATATATAATATATTTTTAAGATTTGCTAACTTGGAACAATTATTCTGAATTTCATATTTTGTCATATATTATATTATGCATACAAAATAAACTAGCATATTAATAAGAAATTTAATTAATATTAAAATTAAATGATAGTTAATTAATATGAAAATTAAAATTAAATTGAAAATAAATTAATTAATAAGAAAGTTATTTAATATGAACATTAAAATTAAATTGAAAATAAATTAAATTGAAAATCTCTTTACCTTTATTAATTAAATGTTTTCTTGGTATATTCCTTATTAATTAAATATTTCCTTGATCTATTCTATAATTTAAGAATCTCCATTAATTATATAATTTCTTGGTCTCTTTATTAATTAAATATTTTTCTCGTATCTTCAATAATTTTTCCAATAGTAAAATTTTCTTCTTACAAAAACCAATTAATGAATAAAAATCCTTTTCCTTTGTTGCCACTGTATTTCTTTTCACAAAAATCAACAAAAATACATGGCTAACAACAGGTTCATAATATATATATATATTATAATAATTAATTTTATCATTTTAATACAATTATAAATAATCATTTAAAATATTACAACACATATAAATAATTAAAACAATACAAGACATTTCTAAATGTAATATTTTTTAATAAAAAATCAATTAATTAGAGTATAAAATATTTTCGCTGATATAAAAAAATT